TCTCCATGTAGGGGTCCAGCCGGTGCAGCAGGCCGTAGCCCCGCTGGAAGAAGCTGCGCTGCGCGTGCATGAAGGACAGCATCTGCGGGGGCAGCGCTCAGCGCCCGCTCGCCCCGAGCCGCCCGCCGGCCCCCCACGCCCGCCTGCTCACAGAGTCCAGGATCTCAAACTTCTTCTTGGCCTGCAGGACGTTGATCTGCCGGGGGGCAGGGGCAGGCGGGAGGTCAGGCCTGGCGGGGCCTCCGCAGGCCGCGGCCCGGGCTGTGTCCAGCTTGAGCCGGCCCCGGCCCCGGCCCCCGGCCGCGGCATCTCAGGTTTGTCCAGCCGGAGGGCGCCTCCCTGGGCCCGCTGCCCCCGGGGTGCGGGTCAGGAGCTGACCGCTGGGCACGCTGACCTGCAGCACGTAGTCCAGCGCCAGGTGGCGGAAGCACTTGCGGGTGAGGGCCAGGGCGCCGGTGGCCTCCTCCACCTCGTGGGGCCGGTGCCGGGGGGCCTGGGCGTTGCGCACCAGGGACAGCTCCATGTCCTCCCGCACCCTGTCGAACTGCTTCTTGGTGTCCTTGAACTTGCGCACGTCCCTGGGGCAGCGGGCGGCAGCTCGGGCTTGCGGCCTCCTGGCTCCGGCCACTCCACGCCTCTACGGCCTGTGCCCACTCCGGGCCCCGTCCAGCGGGTGGGGACAGCTCTCGGCCTCCCCCCGGCCCCGACCCACGCCAGCTCTGCCCCGCCCTTCCCAGGCCTGCTGACCGCTGCCCCTGGCCCCAGGCCGCGAGTGCCTCTGCCCTGCTGGCGCCCACCCCGGCGCCCGGGGCCCAGAGCGACCCGGCCGCAGGGCTGGCGTCCACTCACTCTTTGATGAAGTTGTGCAGCTGCTGACGAACGGACCTCTGGGCCTGGTCAAACAGGATCTGGGGGCGGGGCTGTCGGTCGGCCCCACAGCCCAGGAGCCAGACCCAAAGGCAGCCCCACCGGGGGCCCAGCTGGGGGCAGCGTCACCCCAAAGACCCCGTTCTGGGGCCCAGGGCTGGGTGTGGCCCCAGGCTTGGGGCGGGGCCCAGAGACACAGCTATGCCCACCTGCCCATCTCCAGTGCTGGCCCTTGACCAGAGCCGGGGCCGCCCGGCCAGGCCTTCCTCTGCCCCCGCCCAGCCCGC